CCCTCTATCACAAAAAGTCTCCCAGAGAAGAAGAGTTTCGGGAATATCTGGGACAAAAAACCCCCCAAATCGAAAAAGTGGGAGAATGTACATTTTGCACATTCATAAAATTCCCAAGTAGTTGCTTCTCTGGTGTTGGAGGTGGCAGCACTCAGTTAGATCACCGATGCATCTTGGTTGTTGCGTAGGTGTAAGTACTCAGCTCCGCTGATCACGGATGCCTGGCCTCTTGGAGTGTTAGTAAGTGGAAGTACACACTTGTACCCACGGCGATACTTATTTCGATTCTTCAGAAAATCCTAAAAAAAACACAAAGCCACACCCATGAGAGCGAAACTGCACCCCAATGCACCTAGTTAATCATATCCTCACTAACTCCTAAATGCTCAATATAGATGAGGCTAGTCCAAACCTATAAGAGGTTGGCCTACCTACTCTAACTCTGGAATCCATTCCAGTTTCCGCACCCAGAGTGAGCACTAGATCATTACTCTGGAATAGGTTTATGAATCAGTCCTGTAGCGTTGAAAGCCAGGACAGATCTCCATTATTTCCCAATCCCCTTTTAATATACCTTTTTCACTAATTGGAAAGATAGGTCATAGCTTTTGGAGATGAAGTCAAACTGAGATCGAAGGAAATATCTCCGAAAGTAGTACGACAGTCTAAGCTTGTGTGTGGTTTACGAAGCTCCTAGCAACAGCGGATAATAACGTCATGCCTAACCCGAAGTTCCTTGTCATTCATAATGTTCAAGTACGACTCACCAAGTTCAGAGACCGAATAACAGCAAACAAACTAATCATTATAAAGTTAACAATACATAAATACAACTCCAGATAGGTGGATTGATTGAATCCGAAGAGGTTTAGAAAGCCGATTCGAAGTAATTCTCCGTAGAAAATTTCAGGCCGAAAGTGCATTCCAATCTCCGGAGCCTTCATTTCGCCGTCTTCCATCGCAAGGATCATAGACAAACAGATTCGCATTATCAATCTGCTGATTACCTTACTTACCCACACCACAGACACTCTGAGCACAAATATATCAATTAAAAACCCTTATGAAAACTCATCCATGATAATGAAAAGAGAAGAAGAATCTTGTCCTTTTAAACGGTCAATTGGCAAACACAACAGGAAAGCATCTCCTCATAGGACCGGACCATAGAGAATGACGTATAAAAATACAGTCCCCAACTACAGCAGTTTAGCGTAAGAATCCGCTTCATGTATGCAGTGCAGTGGTCAGGACAATTTATTTTGAATAGGCGTAGAAAATGTGCTCCCTAAAACGTGTAAATCGACACTAAAAGCCTAAAAGAATCAATATCAGATAGTGAATTATAGGGATTTTTTCTTATCGGACTTCCCCCACAACATACGAACTATATAAAACTTATGGTCCGGCCATCCTAAATCATAGTTACAATGACGATTTTGGGGGTGTTTCAGACTGTGGACCTGCCTACTGCGGTAGATGTGTGTATTCTGTCATGCGGCACGTTTTAGACCTTCACATATCCTGGCTTCAACATAATGAGATGCACTGTCCAGTTCCCTTTCTCATAGTTTCCTTCTAAGACAGTACTTTTCTCATAGTTTCCATTTAAGACAGTACTAAGATGATAAATTTTGCAAATATAAATTGTGAAGCTGACTTTACTTTGTATGTGAATGTTGTTGTTAGTTCATTACAGATGATGATGGCCAGTTTTTTTAATTTCCTAAGTAGTATATGATTTATGGATATGTAAGTGATAAGGCCAGTTTGACACGGAGTGTTCTCAGGCGTTGTGGCAGTTAAATTGGGCCGCATCAGTCGAGGGACTCGGATCACTATCCTTTCTGGTTTAACTTTGTTGAACTGCTGCTGTTCTAGCCACCTCCAAATAAAGTGATGAACTGTTACTTACAGTGTTAGCGAAGAAGTAAATCAACACAGCACTTACTGATTACTGAATTAAGAATCGACCTCATAGCATGCTGGGCATTCCCAAAGATGCTCGTCTTCCACTGCAGATGGGGGTACTTAGGTACAGCTTAAAGTACTTAAGTGCTGTAAGGTACCACACTATGAATAGAAAAATCAGCAGAAGGAAATGAAAAGTTCTGCATAGATACAACTGAACATTTTGGTGAAAGTCTTTATCAGTAAACAAAACAACAGGATTCATAAACTAACAAAATGAACGATTAGGCAGATGAGTACGGTTGCAGCTTCCCTTGTAATCTCCTATAAAACTGCTGTTCTTGATTCACTTCTGAACATCTTGATTGTCTCTGTACAGCTGTTTTTCATTTCAGTAATACTCATGGTATTTTTGTCTCCTTAGGCAGTGAAATCAATCGTGGAAGAAGCCCTCAATCAGTTCAGTGCAGACCGTGTAGGGATGGCAGACTTTGCCTTGGAATCAGCAGGTATGGGTCATTGATTTCACAGTATATGTAGTTCATCTTTTTCACTCACAAATATTCTATCAGTCTTTTCTCTCCTCTTCTTCTTAATATTCACCGGCTGTAAACTCCGGCAGAAAGTCCTGGTTGTTCATCCTCTTCTAGACTTTAGTCCTGTTCCAGAACTTGAGTTTTTACATGCACATTCATTTTACAGATCTGGTTTGATTGTGTGCAGACTGTTGGTTCCTTGTCTCTCAGGCAGGTGCACTCCAGCTTTGAAGGAAACATCCCTGATTAGTCACCTTGTACAACATGCTTGTTAGAGGGGGCAGTGTTTCTGTTTCTTCTTCCCCCCCCCCCCCCCACAAATGGGGCCCAAAATGGGGCCCCTGGGAACCACGGGAGGAATTCTTGCCATTGGTTTAAGTGTGGGGAAGGCAGTTTCACAATTTAGACATGCAAGGGTTCAAAGTCAGCAATGGGTAATTTTTTGCAACAGATGGCTTTGGGTTGGTCTTGATAATGGTATGAGCATTGTACAGTCAGAAAGCAGTGGCAAACATTTTAAGATTCTTATCATTTGTTTCTCTCCATGTTGAAAAAAAAAAAATATGACATACACAATTAGCCTGTGTCTTTTTCCCCCTCTTCTCTCTCCTCCCCCCTTTTTAAAACAATTATAAGAAATATACTCAGCTTTTTTGGGAACTGCTGTGGTTTTGTGGCTAAGACACTCGACTGCGGATCCAAAGGTCGTGTGTTGAAATCTGAACTGGGCTAGACTTTAAAAACAAATTTTTAACCTTGGATCCCTTAAATGGGAGCAGGTAAAGTTCTGGGAAGTAAAGACGGCCCACTTGGTGTTGACCACATCACCCACTGATTGCCAGGTTGATCTATAAAATATAGGTCTAGCACTATATACCCAGTACGCTTGAAGACGTGGACAAGGGTGCTTTATTCAGGTTTCTACAGGATAAAGAATGAACATTTCCAACAGTGGCAGCTGTAATACGGAGCTATATGGAACACTGTGCTTGTTTTTTTTCTCCTTTAACTGTTATTTGTGTTAGTCCATCCCCCAAGCTAACTTGGATGTTGACTGTTTGCCAGGCCCACTCAAGTTCACGTTCTTCTTCTTTGCATACACTGGTTGTAAATTCCGGCCGAAAGTTCTGGTTGTTCGTCCAGTTCTGGACTTTGGAGTTTTATGTGCTCATCCACTAATATCTGGCTTATTTATAAGCAGACTGTTGGCTGGCTCATAAGCTAACTCAATACATGTTTTACTGATTTAAAGACTGATCCAAGCTAGTGTCTTGTGTATCTGATTTCAAGACTTGATCCAAGCTAACTTGCATGTTTACTGTTTTTCAAGACTGATCCAAGCTAACTTGCATGTTTACTGTTTTCAAGACTGATCCAAGCTAACTTGTATGTTTACGTTTTCAAGACTGATCCAAGCTAACTTGCATGTTTACTGTTTTCAAGACTGATCCAAGCTAACTTGCATGTTTACTGTTTTCAAGACTGATCCAAGCTAACTTGCATGTTTACTGTTTTCAAGACTGATCAGAAAGCAACTTGCATGTTTACTGCCTAGTAGACATAGCCCAAGTCTAACTTGAATGTTGTACTGCTTTTAAAGACCAACCCAAGCTAACTGGTTGTCCATGTATTTGCTGTTTTCAAGTCCTGTCCCAAGAATTTCAATTTTGTATGACATCCAAGCTACAGATCGCTTGTATGTTTACTGTTTGGCTTCTTGAAGTTAAACAAATGAATAACCAACTTTAAAGTTATAGCCAGTAAATGATAACAGTTTAACATTTGTGATCTCTAAGGTGGCAGTGTCATTTTTCTCCGATGCTTTTGCCTGAGACTTACTACAAAAGAAGACAGCCCTTGTTAGTGTGTTCGGCATCCCTCTGTGGTATACTTCAAACTATCTGTACTGTTATTCCTGTTGAGATTTAATTTTTTTAAGCAGTTTGTATTGTACACATTTGTGTCTTTAGGGATACGGGGAAGACAGTTTCACTAAATTCTGACATCCTTGGAGGGGGAGTCTTTGCTGTCAAGTGAGCTTGGTAACAGACCAGTTGATGTCAGTGTTTGATTTAAAGCTCATTTTATGGAGGTTCAGAAAGCCTATGGCAGAGGTCTGATGCGTCAAGTTACCGCCTTTTTTCAAAAACTACATAGCATTCCAATGCTCTTCTTTTGTTCGTACACTTTATGTAAAACTCCGGTAGAAAGATCTGGTTTAGATCCATCCAGTTTTTATGAACTTCTAGTCCTGTACCAGAATTTGAATTTTGTATGCACATGGGGGGGGGTTATGGCAGGATGACTGGCTGAGTTGTGAACCATATTTTTTGGTTCCTTGTTTAGTCAGGCGACTACGATGTGCGCTCCGACTTTAAAGGAAGACAGTTACCCAGTAAATGCTAAGTTTAATTTGTGATCTCGGGATGGGTCATACAAGTCACATTTTTTTCTTTAACCCTTTTGCCTGAGAAGCCATAAAAAACTGACAATTCTGGTTGGGTTCAGTTCCCCATAAATGTCACTTTTCTGACTTATCTGTAGTTACCTGTTTATATTTAATGCTATTAGCTAAGATTTCACACCTGCCCAAACGTTTAAGGGGATAAGGATATGAAGACATTTACTAAATATAGCATTCAGGGAGAATTTCCTTTGAGCCAGATAGCTTTTTAAAGTCAAGTTGATGTCAGGTTTTCCAGTAAGCTCAGTGGTGGAGGTTACGTGAAGTTTCCTAAGTGATATGTGGCTGTCATATTGTCATGAGTTGTCCAATGATACATGTTTTTTCTAAGGCCAGTTTTTGGGGAATGTATTCCATTGAATGCTTGGACGTTGTTTCAAAAATGTTTTTTTTACATGTCAAAAAAAAAAAATCCCATAAATCTTAGATCAGAAAAAGTTTTTATACAAGCCTAAATGAGGCTTCCGTAAAATGATTTTAAAAGGGTGGGGGGGGGGGGGGTGGCATGGTGACTCCAGTGGGGTCATGACCCATGTTTTTTGTGTGTGTTTAGTGATTCTGGGGGAGAGAGGGTTAATGTGTTGTCATGTCCAGCCTGATACAGATAGATCTGTATATAAGATCTTCTGTTAAAATACTTTTGTTCTTCTCTTTTCCTGGAGCCCTAGAGCACCAAACATGGACAACCTGCAGATTCGTGAGAAATTCTGTGGAAGCATGTTGAGAACACCATGGACAGATTACAGAATATCCTAATTCCTGAAAGAAAAAAACATTCAATTGCAAAGAGAACTGAGTGAATGTTGGGGTCATAATTATGTCAGTAATATTGACTTCCCAAAGCATTTCCTATTTTAGTCATTATCAGTGTGGTCAGTATTGGGGGGAAAAAATTCCCCTGCTTTGATAGGTATTTGAACAATGGAGTAGCAGGCAAGCATGCTAGCAACTACACCACTACTCTGTTTTTTAAAACTTTTAAAAAAAATTTTTAAATAATTAATATTTATAATGTAATCTTGCAGCCAGATGTCCATCCTGGGGAGTGCTGGGCCTTCAAGGGACAGACAGGCTTCATAGTCTTGCAGTTGTCACTTCCCATAGAACCATCAGGCTTTACTTTGGAGCACATCCCTCGTAGTCTGACCCTAACTGGTGACATCAGCAGTGCACCAAAAGAGTTTGCAGTATTTGTGAGTGGTTTTGATATTCCTGGCTTTGTTTGCCTAGACTAACCCTTTATAGTTTCAGGAGAGATAGACAAGGGGAATGTGGATTTTTATGTACTGTACTTCGCAAAGATGGAGACATGCTTCAACACCACTTATGAAATACAGAAATATATAAAACATGTACATGTGCCTGTGTGGGCACACACACACAGATTTCATGTGAAGCACTTATCGTGATGACGAGCACACCAAAGGGCATGACTCTGTATAGGTTGATAAAATGGGGGTGCAGCCTGGAGCTGCAAGAAGTGAACATTTCACTAAGGGGACAAGTCGTTTGATTAATCAACACAGAATAGGTATTATCAGTCGTAATACACTTATGGAGCTTTTGAGGGGGAGATTGGAGCACCTGTGGATCTATCCAGAGTGTAGTGATGAATAATCCTTACTAATCACACAAATTACAACCATAGAAATAAAAGATATATAGAAACATTTGATATTTTTTTTTCCCCCTGTGTGGGTTCCGGGGCCCCATTGTGGGGAAAACAAGAATAGACCCACTGCCTCCCCAAAAGCATGTCGTAAGAGTCGACTAATTGGGGAGCTTCCTTTGAAGTCGGAGTGCATCTGCCGGAGAGGCAACAAAACCAACAGTCCATTCAAGAGAATGAGATCTGTAAAACTGATGCACATGCAACACTGAGGTTCTGGAGCGGGACTGCAGTTCAGTAGTGGACGATCAACCAGAACTTTCCGCCAGAGTGTACAGCTGGTGAACGCGAAGAAGAAGAAGAAGAAGATTTGATATTTTGGATACAAACATTTTCATTTTTTGTGACATCAGCAGTACACCAAAAGAGTATGTAGTATTTTTGAGTGGTTTTTATTTACTGGGTTTTATTTGTTTAGACTACCTTTAAAGTTTCAAATCCAGTAAAGAGACAGGAAATATAGAGAATCTGTGTGCTGTATCTCACACAGGAAGAGGCAAGTCCCAACAACTTTTATAAAAGACAGAAGTTTACACATCATATATCTTACACACTCATGCATGCTCACACACACACATAGAACAGCCATAGAAAAAGAAGATATGTAGACACATTAGATATTTTGGCTAAAAGCATTTTCAAGAACTTTAAATTACTTATATCTAATCAGGAAAATATCCACACAGATAACAGGTTATGTTTAAATAATTAAAATATGCTGTTTATTCCTATTTTTAAAAAAAGCAGAACAGTTTTTCACAAAGGTGTAGTTTACAGAGGCACAAACAGTTCTGATTTAATGTCTACTTGACGAACACAGCTGACATTTAAAAAAACTGTAAAATGGGGTACATAAAAGAAAAAGATAAGATTATTTGAAGGAAAAGGTCATGTGTACAGGGTTTCAGTAGCTGTCTCTTATTGTTTCAGGGTTTGGTGTCTGAAAGGGATACACAGGGTATCAGTCTAGGCAACTATACCTATAAAGACAATGGAACACCTATCCAGTTCTTCCCTGTTCAGGCAAGTATTTCAAAATGTTGCTACAAATCACAAAAATGTACCTTTTTTTTTCTTTAATTCACTGTTGTAATAATTTGGTGTATAGTAACTGTTTTTCCTCATCTTCTTAGTTTCAGTGGCTGTAAACTCTGGCGGACAGTTCTGGTTGTTCATCCACTTCTGGGTTTTGGTCCAGTTTAGCATGCACGTGATCTGGCTTATTTGTATGCAGACTATTGGCTCCTGGCATCTCAGGCAGATGCACTTCAGCTTTGATCTGTAAAACGGATATGCACGCAGAACCTGTTCTGGAACAAGACTAAAAAAGTGCAGAAGGGGTTGAACAACCAGAACTTTCTGCCAGAGTTTACAGCCGCTGAACGTGAAGAAGAAGACACCCATTCTTACAATATGCTTCTCGCAGAACTTTAAGAATGTTGAAACAGACATGTTAATTGAGATTTGATTTGTCTATGAGGAATTGGTTGTTGAAATAATATCACTGTTTGTTTTACACATGGGGGTTTAGTAGTAATGTGGTTGTGGCTGGTTTCTCGGATCAGCTACACAAATACTTAACTGCCAGCCCAGTGGATCATGTGTTCAAATCCTCTTTCAGTCAGGGTATGTGTTCACTGATCTGAACTTCCAGGAAAGCCCCAGCCTAAAATGAAATGATTACCAGGAAATTTACTTGGAAGTAGAGGCAGCTGGCTTAACATTGACTGCATGATCTATCAGGCACCGATTGATTGACTAACATGCCTGTGTGGGTTCCGGGGCCCTATTATAGGGAAAACAAGAATAGACCCACTGCCTACCCAAAAGCATGTCGTAAGAGTCGACTAATTGGGAGCTTCCTTTAAAGTCGGAGTGCATTTGCCTGAGAGGCAAAGAACCAGCAGTCTGCATACAAATGAGTCAGATCTGTAAAACGGATGCACACGCAACACTCAGGTTGTGAAACAGGACTGCAGTCCAGAAGCGGACGAACAACCAGAACTTTCCGCCAGAGTTTACAGCTGGTGAACGCGAAGAAGAAGCTTGATTAGCATCTTTCCAGACGATAGTGTTTTATAGCACTATTAAGAGCATGGGACTCAAAGCCCATGGCGAGTGTGACTAGCAAGACCTGTGAGTATTTGGAGTTTGTATTCATTAATTATCTACAGAATTTCATCCTACCTTATTTGTTATATTTTAAATAACTGTTTTAATCTTCCCCAGAATACCAGCAAAAACATATTCCAGCTTGTTGAACTGAGAATCTTGAGTAACCATGGCAATAAAGACTACACCTGCATCTACAGATTCCGAGTTCATGGCACGCCGTGAATAAGAAACAAACATAGTCTCCTGTAAAATTCTGATTGCTGCCATAAGCCACATTTTAAGTCATTATGTTATTTATTAGAATTGGGTTTTCCCTTTCTGGAGGAGAATTGATATCAGTTTTCTTCAGTATGAAAATATAATTATCTATCTAGCAGAACCACAAACAGCTAACATATTTGCAACGTTTTGTAATTGGTATGCAGCTAACTCTGGGAAATATGTGGTAGGGATAAATGAACTATTTGAATTTAATCCCAGAAAGGCATGTAGATATTTGTTTTTTGAGAATATGAAATTTTAGTGAAAACAGTTACAAATGTCCTTCGTAATTAAATTATCACTGAGTTTTATTTTGTGTGTGTCCTTTATGGGTATGAAACGTCAGACAACATACTTAGTTACAAATATTAGTTGACTCTCATTGTTCGGTAAATAATTACTATTATCTTTGGGCAGGGAAAAGGAATTCAAGAAAGGTTATTAACTCTTTGAGTCCCAAGGAATGCATCATATGTTTATAGATTCCTACCTAGAAGCCCAATGAACGCAAGATGCACCGATTTTTATTGTTGCCATTTTGGGGAGGGGACAATTGACCTTGTTTCACAACAACTGGAATATTTTACATTCATCATAATTTCCACGATGACATATTTATGTTTGTTTTTTCTGAATATGAAATGCCATTTACAAATGTCAGTAAGCTGTCCTTGATTAGTAACCGATGACTAAGATTAATAAAATAATGAAATAGAAGTCTATACTGTATCAACAATGGATGTTGGCTATCATGTATCCTATCCATTGCTGTCTTTGTGAATATTACACAATGAGACCCCAGTCTCTTTGATGTGTGTGACTCTCATACGACTGTTTGAAAGCCATAAGAATGGCCTTTTTCTAAGCCACCTGTGGTGGAAAGAGACGCTGGTTTATATTGAGATTGGGATTGTGAAACCATTTGACTTATCTCAAAGCCACAATGCCACACATAAACAATGTATATAAACAAACTTAGTTAACCTAGCATTCCATTTTACCAGTACCTCTCCTGTTTTCTTGTATCAGCTTGAACCACTTTATTTGGCACTTGTACTTTATATATATATATAACATGTACTTAGTCTCTTACCTTTGGGGTCTATTATGAACTGCTTCTTTGCTTTTAAATATCGAATAGAGGAGTAACAGTTACTTTACATTTAATTCTTCATGTTCACTGGCAATAAATTCCAGCCAAAGGTTCTGGTTGTTTGACCATTTCAGGATTGTCTTCTTGTTCCAGAACTTAGTTGCACTTCCATTTTACAGATGTGGCTGGTTTGTGTGCAGACTGTTGGTTTCATGCCTCTCTGGCAGATACACTCAAAGTTTTAAAGAAGCATTCCTAATTTGTGGCCTTTTATGACACGCTTGTTAGAGAGGCAGCAAGTCTGTTCCTCCCCCCCCCCCCCCCCCCCCCCCCCCAAAAATGGGGCCCTGGAATCCACACTAGGGACATTTACAAGTTAAAAGCATGAATATTGAGCGCCGCAGTTCATGTCTGCTGGTATTACCACCATAAATTGTGGGTTAAAAGTAGAATTTTCAAGCCTTAAAAAAATATATCCCAAACTAGAGACTGAAGTATGCGACGGGTATTTAAAAGTGTGAAACTCAAAACTTTCAGCTACAATTCTTAAGGTCAACTTGTACACTAGGCTGACATGTACGACACAATTTAAGGTAATGTTTGTGTTGTTGTTTTTATCTTTAAGCAGTTTTTTTTTTGTTCATTTCAATTAATGTTTTAAAAGCCTTTTAAACTTGCAGTAAGTAGTTCAGTTGTCAGTTGCATTCAGTCTGATTTTGCTGACAAATGTATTAATAAGAAACATATTCTATATTATGTCACATTATAGTTTTAATATTTGTTAATTGCTTCTAAAATAATTTTTTCATGACAAGGTTTTAAATGTTTGTCAAGTTTTGAACAAAATTAAATGTTGAATTCTTAATTTTTGCATACCTATATAGTGTCTATCTGTCACCTTACATGCCTGTCTCTTTTGTGTGGTACATATCATGTTTAAAGAATTGTATCATTCTGTAATTTAAAAAAATGCATTCAGTATCTCTTGTGCATTTATGAGCAGTTTAATTTTTTCTGAATATAAAAATTTAATTATATTTAATATTAAGTATTTTTTATTCTCAAATGGATTATGTTAAACATTAACTTATTATCCTGTTATCATGTTTATATTAATATAAGTTTCAATGGAGTGTCTGCAGTAAGCATTGAAGCAGGGTGGTTCCAATCTCGAGCATATTGTAACAAGATCCTTGATTCATCGTCAGTAAATTAACTCTTTCAGTCACAAGCAGCACACAAAGTCCGGCTGCCTCTTTATCTAGAACAGTGGTTTTGTGCGTTCTCATTCTTTTTACAAATTTTTTTAGAGTACTTCTGAAAAACCTGTCTTCTCCTTTGACACGTAGCGTACTAGTGATTTTTTATATTCAGGCATCAGTGTTTTTTTTTTTTTTTTTTTTTAAATTAAAGGCAGCACATGATATAAGGCTGCCTCATCCTCTAGAATTTAGACCAGTGCTTTATTTATTTTCTTACCTTTTGCATTTTTTTGGGGGTTGAATCTGTCTTCCCCTTTGCAAAATAGTATACTCATGATTTCATATAATGAACATCAGTGGGTGTTTATTGCGAAACCTTCCAGTACTGAGGGAGTTCATATGTGCCATTAAGTTGTATCATTTTTCTGGTTTATGATTATTACTTTGAAAATGTTTGTCTTGTTTTCTGTTTAAAAGCCATAAATTACAAAAAGACAGATCTGTACGTCACAAAAGATATAACAATTGAGTGTTTTTTAGGTTGCTTTGGTGCAAGGAAACATAGGGGAAAAAAATGTGTACAATAAATTGTATGTTCCTCGCATGACATATAAAAATTTTGAAATTTACTGCTATGTGACAGTTTCTTTAACTCAGTAGGTAATTCTACCCTATTCATTCATCATCATCATCCGGTTGTGCCATTATATATCACATAGGGCTCACAGTTTGTTCCTCCATTCCATTCTGTCCTGTGCAGACCCTTCGGTATCATGGATGGAATCCAGTCCAGCACCTGTGGCCTGTTGTAGGGTTTCTTTGTGGACATCCTCACTTCCTTAGTCCTTTTATTTCCTATTTTAATGCCTGTTTAGTGATTTATCTGCTTGTTTCTTCTCAGGTGATGTCCTGTATATCTCAGTTGAATTTAGTTGATCAAGGATTGACATCACAGCACTCGGGGCATTCCCACACGCACTCCATCCCCATCATCAGCAGCCATCGCAGAGTTCCAATTCTAATGGTGCCGGTCGTAGTTTGGTTGTGTATCCCTCCTACCTTTCCTCTGCCAGTGTGCCGGCTGAACCCTCTGGACACACCCAGGTGCATCATTCTCTCTCCTAATAATAATAATAATTTCTCTTCTGACTTCGCTACTTATTCCCAAAGGGATATATCTCAGTGTTCTCCCGTACTTCTCATCTTTTCACATGTCCAAAGAAAAAGAATGTGTGTTTCTTACTGTTACACAGTTGCGTGGTTAATAAAACAATGATCTACACTGGCTGCTGCAGATGAGGGTTGAGCGCTCGTGGGAATGCTCCAAGTGCTGTGATATTGGTTCTTGAATCAACTCAACAAAACAATGATATAGTTTGTTTTGACAGAACTTAAAAGAGTCTCAAAATTTGCACAAACAGAACAGGTTATTTAGAAATGTTGGTAAAGCTTAAGGATGTATGCATGCTTGTATGAGTGCATGTGCTTTTTTTTTTTTAAGCACTCTTAGATTTTAAGATCCAAAATGGATGCTGAATGGACCTCATTTGTCGGTCTTCAAAGAACAAAAAAAGCAGTTCATGAAAGGTCTGATGAGATTGTTTGTCTTTCTGTATACATAACCTCTACACGCCAGCACACAGACTAGATTATTATTTGAAATGATTTTCAGCAAAAATAATTAATTTTAAATAGCAGTGCTAATTTTCTTTTGTCCCACTGCTTATGGACTACAGGCTCTCTCAACTTAAAACAGTTTACCATGATAATTCTTATCATATTTTCTGAAAGGCATCTTCCATCCAGTGACTGCTCCATGTTAAGTAATATGATTCTAAGTGTTCCCATTTGTAAATTGCCTGTCATTATGGTAATATCATGGAAAGATATAAAACCGAACAAAAAGTATATCTGCGAGCTTCACAACAAACACAAAGAAAACATGAACATTGCGGCTGTGGGCACATACATAGATTAAGACAACACTACACAAATACACAATATCACTTATCTTCGTATCTTGTGGCAGCCAAATCGATGTCAAGACCATTTTTTTGGTAAATGACTAGCTGTTTTCTTGCAGTTTTTCATTCTGAACTAGTGGATCACTTCACACAATCACAGTATCCACTAGATGTTAAAAAATTTCTTAATTGCTGAGGTTATGTCATCCGGTTGCAGTTCTTCCTATAATCATTTGACTTAGAGAATGTAACTGGTGTATTATGTTTACTCTTTTTTAATTCTGTGATCTGTGGATAATACCATTTATTAATTTGATCTATGTTAAAGTCATTGTATGATTATTCTTTTAATGTAATTTGTTTTCCTCTGCTGCTGCTCCACTGGGCCTGGAGCTACTTTATGATAAATCAAACATGATGACGGCTTTCTGGGATCAAGTAGACTGTGCAACACAGCAGTGTATCCATACTTAGAGACGCTGATTCAGAATAAACAGAGGGAGGACTGGGCAATTTGCAAAGTGCTAGGGAAAAGATGCTGTGAATTTCTTAAAAATCAAGTTGCAGCTGAAATCTTCACCAAGGGAACTCTTCATCTTCATTGGCTACTGAAAAAGCAGACTGAGCACTATTGAAAACATTCCAAGTGCAGTACTTTCAATTCTTGATTCATTCATGTTATATTTATATATTATATGACACTGCAAGACTAACTATACTACTCAAAAACGCAACGCAGAGCTTTTGAAAGGAAACATAATTTTTCTCATCATTTTGATATTCAGAATCTTTAATTTAATGAGTGAAATTGTTAAAATTTCATGCAAGAATACCTTAAGATTCAACCAACCAATAGACGGTCAAATTTTGTGTGTGTGTGGTCCCCAATAGTTTTATGGTTTATGATCTTTCCGTTTTAAAAATGTGCCGTCGGAAAACTATTTCTTTTGTTTTTTTCTAACAGTATAAATATAACTCTTGTAATTTGAGTCCACAGTTACAGAAAATTCTGATGTTTATCAGTCATATGCATGTTTACTAAATGGTTTTAGCACAAAGCTGGTTGGATTTCAAACTGTACATTAGGATTCCATTAATTTATTTGTTTGCTTTCATATTTGTATAACATATCTTACCTTGTATATTGATGTTTTTTCTTTTAAACTGTCTCCTTTTCATCTCATTTGACTGTATAAATTAATTGCTTTTGAGATTAGCAAAGTAGTGTAGTGGCTAGAATGATTGCCTGTCTTCCTGAAGGTCTTGGGTTTGAATCTGCACCAAGTCAGTTTGTTCTTTCCCAAATGAAGCTTGGCTGCCATGTCGACCCAGCTTAAAAGGGGTATGGTCCTGGGAAGTAAGGGCAGATGGTGAGATATAGTCAGTATCACCCACTGAGTGCAAGTTGGTCTATGATAAGTACATAAACATGAGTCAAGCAACATATGCACCACTGCCGTAAAAAGGGTCCTTCACACACAAAATGCCTCCTGTTTTTGCAGGCTTGCTCTTAGACTGTCACATAAACAGTAAGTACATCATGTGTCATATATATATATATATATATATATATATATATATATATATATATATATATATATATATATATATATATATATATACACACACACACACACACACACACACACACACACACACACACACACACACACACACACACAGTAACATATAATTATATGGCGACCTTATTACCTGCCGTCTTTTTCAGGATGAAATTTTTCGTTATTTGAAGCCCCACCCTGGCTCTTGCCAGTGGCCGCAATATAGCCCGGCCATAAATATTATCTAATGGCTGAGCGCAGTTTCTAGGACCTCTCTACGGTGATCCTCATCCACATGGTGGCACTTTGTGTCATCGGGTGTTTATCGCTTGTGTGATGTCCTGGTGGGGTAAAAATTCAGTCAGTTAAAATCATTATTGCGGGTGTGGTGGAATGTTTTAGTTTGAGAATTTAGGGCAGCATGGTGTATGTAGTCACTGAACTGCAAGTACAAGATTTTTATTTTAACCCCCAACAAAGTTTGTATGTATTTGTTATGTTGTTTGTTTGTATTTTCAGAAATATTTTAGAGTTAAATGTTTAGTTCTTGTTGTTTCTGTTTTGCTTGTTAATGTATTTTTCTTGTTCACTTATATTAGCTTGTAGTTAGCATTATTTAGAAGTGTGTTTATGTTTGACATTAGTGCTTTTACAAAGGCTTAAAAAAAAATCAACATAACCCTGAAGATGTTATTTCTCCTAGTGGTGCTATTATTGGTTGTACTTTTGCCCATATTTCATATATTACAGGTATATTACAGTTTTATTATCACCTAATAAAAGACGTAAATAAACACCACTTTTATCATAAACAGATTTGCTTGTCTCTGAGTATATTTGTGTGTTTATATTTTGTAAATAAGAAACTAGAAGACATTGTGGTTTTCATTGATGGGAATTTTTAACCCTCTCTAAAGGCTTTGTGGAGTTAAGAAGTAGATGCTCTCTCTTCTTCTTCGTGTTCACTGGCAGAAAACTGCAGCAGAGTTCGCCCACTTCTAAATTTGGGTCTTTTGCCAGGACTTGTCTTCTTCTTCTTCTTCTTAGTACTAACCGGCTTTAATCTCTGGCAGAAAGTTCTGATTATTTGGACTTTTTTTTTCAAGAACTTAATTTTGAGCGCAAACATCAATTTTACAGATCTGGCTTATTCATGTGCAGACTGTTGGTTCCTCAATTCTTACACAAATGCCTCACTGACTTTGAAGGAAACGTCAATCCTGTCTCCATTGACCAAGCCCCCAGTAGAGAAGCTCTTTCTGGGATGACAGTGGCGAGGCATAGGTAGGTCCCTACCAGAATTAGCCCTTGTTCTGCACTAGCCAAAAATGACCTTGGCTCCCGGGTCGACCCAGCCTTGAGTGGGTACTGGGTGCAGTCCCAAGAAGTAAAGGCGGCCGGCGTGATGCGGACCACACCCCCCGTCTTGTGCTGATTGGTCTATAAAAATATAGGTCTAGCCCTATATGCCCTATACGCCTAAAGGCGTGGAAAAAGGTCCTTTACTTTACTTCTGCACTAGCAGGTGTGGGGCCCCAGAACCCACACGGGGAGATGTGCATGTCATAAAAAGGTTTTTTGTGAGACTGACAACCTCATCATGTAGGAAAACTTTTACTGCAAAATTCAAGCAATCTTGAGTGAATCTACAAGTGGCTCGGTATAGCTGGTTGTGGATTTATGCTTCATCAAGGTTTGAAAAGCCAAAGTCAGCGCTAGATTCAGCCTGGCTGAATTGTTCTTTTATGTTTTGTGAAATGCTGGTGGAAAGAAAAAAAACACACACACAAGACACAAGATTAACTTTGCAGTTAAAATTTGTTGTTAAATAAATTTTAAAAAAATATACTGTCTTATTTTAACAGAATACCTAACAAAGGATAAAACACATTAATTACAAAAACAATTGAAGTCAAATATATTTTTTGCCACACACACAAATTTAACAAATAAAAAAACATGCGGTGCCTGTAATCAGCTTCTTCTATTACTCTTTTGCGTCTGTGATGCCTCCACCACTAATGGCAAATGTGGCCTCATTTTCAGGCAGGTCAGGACTAAAAGAATGAAAGAAGCATACATGGTATAATATAACTCTCAATAGGTGTACAACTGGGCAATCATGTATTATTAAATGACACATGAAATGGAGGAACTTTTGAAAATATACTCCAAAAGAGAATAAGAAACAACTAAATCATGCCAGCATGCTAGACTATCAGGAGTCAAACTTCTACAGACACAGGCTCCCCCCCCACCCAAAGTTAGTTATGTGTTTTTTCAAGAATTTAACCATAACCAACCCCAGCATTCTTTGGCTGTTGCAATTTTCTAGGCAAAATTTATGTTCAGTAGTTTGGCTCTTGATACCATGGTCGAAACCAACACAAGGCCGTCTACTGCCAAATTGCCTACAGCTGGGATGGAGCCTGGCATTATGAGCATGTTTGCAGCGCTTATACCATAGATAACAATGAACATGATGATGAGACAAAATGTTGAAAGTGAGGATCATCACAGGCCAGGGCCCTAGCATAGAAAATTCATTAATGAGTACAACTGGCAATGATCCGCTGGTCAAATCTGGCCAGCAGGCCATCAGTTGAATAGCCCTGCTGTTTAACATAAAATAAAATTGATCAGTAGATCAGTTATGACATGTGGGGCACATACCAAATTAAATGCATCTTAACTGGCATGAACTGTGTGTACAAAGATGAATGATAATGCTAAATGTATTAAAAGGAAACGTCAACTAAACAAATTTTGTTCACGTTGTAAATGTAAATAATAAAGATACAAACTATATAAAGCACAATTTATTGCCTGGCATTTTTCACCATAATTTCATCAGGTGGATCACAGCAGAATACAAGAGACCATGATTTGTGTATTTTAGTTAACAGGATTCATGTCTTGTGCTTCACTGTTGGTTGGCACTACACCATCACCATGATGCAAATTTTGCAGTTTTTCACCTAAGTACCTTTTCTGGGCTGTTGTTTTTCACTTTGCAAGATGTCAAATGCACACATATGAATTCCTACTCTAGATAGTTCAAAAAAAAAAAAAGAAGTGTGATTTTTCACAAAGACTTCAACGTTCAAATACAATTTTCATAAAACAAGAATTTAGCACTTAGCTGACTCTGGTATAGTACCAACAATATGTTGATTTAACTCTTTGAGTCCCAAGGAACACATCATACATTCATGAATTTCTACCTAGAAGCCCAATGAACGCATGATACGCCGATTTTATGACTTTATTTACTACCCCCTGGGACTGTGATGCTAAACCCCCTGCGACTCAAATAGTTGAACCCTGATAGTAATGTACCTGATAAGACAGTGAAGTATGCCAGGTAATAAATTGTGCAAAATACTGTTTCTGACACAATATTTAGAAAGTCAAAATTATGTTAAATGACTGTAAAATGAAGGCTACCTGTCATATACTTTAGCAATTCTGGTTTCTCCTCTGCCTTTTCTCAACATAACCCGTACAGTTGAAGCATGAGCAAGAATATGACCGCCTATTGGTTTCTTGGGATCTGCTTGAAAACTAAAATAAGGAACAAACATTAGATGGCATGTAAAATTACTTCTTGTATATTAAAAAAAAATTATGTGCCCTCTGTACAATGAAGATTGGCAACATTGTCTACCTACTTCTGTCTTTGGGGATATTAAGTGGTAAGGCCTTAACCCAGCCTCTCCCACAGTGGGCTTCTCGTACTACTTCTAGTAACCATGAGAACAGTTTTTTTTGTTTTCAATTTTTAAAAAAAAAATGTCTGCCACAGAAATGTAACTATAACCCTCAAAGATCATGAAACTGTTCAATACATCCACCCTTCTAAGAAGTCTTTTAAAATATTTGTTACCAAACTGAGACAGCAGTCTTCTTCTTCTTCACGTTTACCAGCCGTAAACTTCGGCACAAAGTTCTAGTTGTTCGTCAACTTCTGGACTTTGATCTTGTTCCAGAAACTGAGCTTTGCATGCTCATAAATTGTATCCTTCATTTGTATGCAGACTGTTGGTTCCTCACCTCTCAAACAGATTCTGCATGACTGTCCTCACTGAATACCTATTTCCAACAAGCGGTTCATCTGTTTTGACTCCTTTGTCTTAATGTCTCTGGAATGCAGTATAGCTAGCCTGTCCTTCACAGACTACTGCATACACGGCCAGTCTGTCAGCTCTTTTATTTCCTTTCAACCTGACCGATGACAGGCTTCATTGTAACAATGTTATACGTATGATCATTGAACTCAGTGATGGATTTATTTGTCTTTTTCTTCTGTATTCATACTTAAAAGGTTAGGTTATTGTTTACAACTAGGCTGAAATATCTGTGAACCTCAGTCCAATACATCTTATTTCAGATAATCATTAATTATTCATCTTTTAAGACAAGCTTGTTAAGAAGCAATGAGTCTATTCTTAACAGACACACCCCCCCCTCCCCCCCATTTTCCCAAAGAGGAGTCCATAATCCACACATGGGGACAATGATAGATTGACAATTGAAAGATTTAAATATGCTTTCAAGAAATAAATATTGCCTGACTAGTTTACTGACTTTAATATTATATTAAAGGACAGACTGTCCCATAGTTTTTGGACAATGTTACAAGAGTTGCACTGTGGAAGAAATTGGGACCTCACCAAACAATATACTCAAAGACAACACCCTACAAATGTTGGGGGGGGGGGGGGGGTATTTTTTGTGTTGACCAGGAGCCACCATGGTGTAGCTACTAGATGCTCGCTTGCAGATTAGAAAGTCATGGGTTCGGGTCCTGGTGGAGCTGGATTTTTTTCAAAAATGACCTTGGCTCTCCGGTCGACCAAGCCTTGAGTGGGCAGGAAGTAAAGGCGGCCAGCAGCACCATATGCCCAGTACGCCTCAAGGCGTGAAAAATGGTCCTTGTACTTTATTTGTTAACCAGTTGTTTCAGCTATCAACCATAATTATCAGTCTTCATACATTTTGTTTAGCTAGTTTTAACACATAAGGCCAATGTCTCTATTCCAACTTCTTCTGTTCATATGTTCCATGCATTGAATTATTCATTATTATATGACAATAACTGACCTCATTGCTGCTCCAGGGTCCGCTGTCATCTGGTTTGTGACAAAGCAAGCTACATTATACTCTGAAATAGTTAAACAGCATATTTCTAGCTTCTCTCAATTCCTTATCACAAGATTTTCAATGACAAATTCTACCGAAATACCATCTCCACAATGGAGGTGACTGCAGTGGATGCATGCATCCTTTCTGTCATTAGGAATGTTACATGGTGTGGCCCCAAGCTCTACCAAAGTGCATCTCTTAGGCCCACAGTCTGAAATCTATGAGGCAGTCTTTTTCTAAACTGCCCACTGTGGAAAGTGAACTCTGGTTGGTTACGGATTGTGAAACATACTCAATAATCTCTTAGTCACAGATTCACACTTTCAAAGACTGACAATGACTGATAAATTTGAACAAAGAAGACACAAACAAGAGATTGCACAATTTACTGCCTAGCATATTTTGCTGTTTGAGTTAGTACCAGGTGCAGTCGTTGGAAAGTAAAGGCAGCCGGCGTGATGCTGATCAGATTACCCACCAAGTGCCAATTGGAGTATAAAATATAGGTTTAGCCCTTTATGTCCAATATACATGGAGGTGTGGAAAAAGGTCCTTAACTTACTTATATTTCGCTTTATATCCTCAGGTGCATACTGCAGTAACAATTAAATAAAATGAAGTAAATAAAAAAGTAAATTCTTTACAACTGAAGTACAAATTCAAGCTCTCTCAAAATCAACTGCAGGTTTTACCAGGGTACATAGTAGAATCAAGCAAAAAAATTACACAGCAAAATATGCCAGGCAAAACAGTTACCATCTGTTGTGTCTTCCTTATTCAATTTACAAAAGGAAAACATTGCTGTTGAATGTTGAATTAAAAATCGACATCACAGCACTTGGGACACTCCCATAAGTGCTCTGTCCCCATCTTCAGCAGCAAGTGAAGAGTTCAAAATCCAATGGCCACCAGTGACTATCTGATTGTATCTCCGTCTCATCCTTCCCCTGAGTGTTTAGCGTCAGCCAGATCCCCTTGTAACTCCTCGCAGCATCATTCTCCTCAGACCGTAATGATCTACCTGCGTCTCCGCACGGTTCACTCATTCCCAAAGGGCCCTCACAATATCTAGCTTGTCATACATCAATTCAACACCAAGTGGTGCAGAGCCGGCCAGTCTAACTGCCTGCTCATTTCCCAACACACTGGCATAACCTGGATCATTGGGACACACAAGCCCCTCTACCATTACAATGTGGAGACACATCAGAGGTCGAGGCTTGTTCATAATGTACTGTATTTTATAATTGTATTTGTAAATGGGAAGAGGACCTACGCAGTTTCATGCCAGAGCCTCTCACGCCATCATTACAAAGTGTATGATAATTTAGTGTTATTCCCCATGTGGGTTCCATGGTCCCATTGTTGGGAAAACAAGAACAGACCAACTACCTCCCCAACAGGCATGTCATAAGAGTCGACTAATTTGGGGCTTCCTTTGAAGTTGGAGTGCATCTGCCTGAGAGGCAAGGAACAAACAATCTGCATACAGTTGAAAGATCTGTTAAAAGGATGTGCAGATAACAAGTCCAGAGGTTGACAAACAACCAGACCTTTACACCGGAGTTTACAGCTAGTGAACATGAAGAAGAAGTACAGTGTTATCCTTGGCTTTTCTTATATGCTGTTGTGGCATATGATTGGTTTTTAAAAAAAGCGCATGGAGAAGAGATACTAAAATAATGTTCTGTCATGTGAATAATAATTTACCTTCTGCAATTTTCTGCAGTCTGGACAAAAGTTGGGCCAGTTTTTGCTGTCTGTCAGCCAACTCTCCACGACCACTAAAGTCCACTCGAAACAGAGCCATTATTGAATCCACTATCTGTAGCAAGTAAAAATATAACCATGTCTTTCAAAGCAAAAAGTATTTTCAATAATTTACCTGTTACAGAATGAATGACCAACTTGTTATCTTAAAACTTATAAGATCTGTTACAGGATTCAGTGGCATCTATCACCTGGACAGTTAAGACCAACAGAGGGGATATGGTAAAAGTAACAATGCAAAGGATCCTTTTATGCCTTTGGCACATAAGGCATGAATGACTGATGTTCAACGCCACCAGGATCGCACAACGAGCTTTCATTTGGATGAAAATCCCCTAGGTGGAAGTCCCAGAAACCCTGTTCAACCGTTAGGTTATTATAGGGTCCCTGACAACAGCTGGAGTACAGCTTTGCAATAATGAAAAATTGTGTCCCAGTTTGGATGGCAATGGAACATAGATTGGCACATAAGGCATACAGCACTAGACCTTTATTTTAATAGACAAGTCCACACTCAATATGTAATGTGGGAAACACGATGTCGGCCATCTTTACTTTCCAAAACATTACCTGCTACCCATTTTAGGCTGGGGTCATTTGGGAGCCAAGGTCACTTTAAAAAAAAAAAAACTGCCATGATGCGGATTTTAACCCTTGACCCTCTGGTCAGTAGGTAAGAGTCTGGTCGCTATGCTATGTGACTCCCGTGAGGGGATGTAGTGTGGACTGTAAATGCCTGCTTCAAAAATTTTTTATTATTAGTGCGCAAATGGAGAAATTTGTATGAGTGTGGTTGTAATAACCACAAAGGAGGTCAATTCTGATAAACAGCTAAACAGCTAATCAAAATGCATCAGGAACAATCAATGTAGTGGCTAGCAAGCTTGCCTGCTGACCTGGTAATCACAGATTCAAATAACCAATATGTTGAATTAAAAATCGACGTTACAGCACTCGTGACACTCCTATAAGTTTTATAGACGATGATGAGAAAACCCTGAACAGATAAAAGCAAGTAATGATGATGTCTTGAATAAAACTCACTCACAAAGAGACTGACCCCATCAGAAAGAGACGATCAACATTCTTTGGTCATGAGATGAGAAGGAAAACACTGGAGTACATTGTAACAGTAGGAAAGTTGGAGGGGAGGAGAGGCAGAAGGAGACAAAGAGGAAAGATGCTGGGCAGTCTGACATCATGGCATGGGGGAATCATCTGTATCAGAGCTGATTGAAAGTACATCCGACAGAAGGTTGTGGATGGACATGACTACCAACGCCACATGACATGGACTTTAAGAAGAAGAAGAAGAAAAAGGACTCTTAGGTTTATGCCATACTTAAAATAGGTGCTAGAAAATTTAGGAAGAAAGAGCAGCTAGCGTAATATCTACAACATCACCGGTCACACACTGAGGTCTATTTAAAAGAAACAAAAGGAGGCCAACATAATATGCCCAATGCATCTTAAGGCATGGAAACAGCTTCTTGACTTTATATCATCATCATCATGTAGCAGGTCCTTTGCAGAACATCATTCTCATCACGGTCTGCCTGAAAGAAACTCGGTCTCTTGCCAGCTCTCCCACCTCATGCACTATCATACTCAAGGAGTCTCTTATATCCTCTGCCCATCTTCGTGTTGGTAGGCTCCTGCCCATCCTTCCTGGTACCATGCCTTCTGCTATAATATTTTTCCAATCCGTCTTGGCGCTTGATTTGACCAAAATATTTCAGCTTCCGAGATAGGATGCTGTTTATTAGCCAATCTTCCATGACGTTCAGATCTTTCAAGATGTTAGTATTTCTCCTCTTTTCCGTCCAAGATATTCTGAGAATCTTTCTATAGCCTTTCAGCTCAAAAGCCTCTATTCTCTTTCTTAAGGACTGGAAGATAGTCCACAACTTACATTCTTATGTTGCTACAGGGAAGATGCATGCTCTCAAAATTCTAATTTTGATCTCTTTGCTGGTGCTTAACCATATACTTTTTAGGCTGTTTAATCTTTGCATTACTATGGCCACACTCCTTTTAATTTCTGTCAAACAGTCTCCACTGCTATTTATTATAGAGCCTAGATATTCACAGTTGGTGACATTTTCAATTTTCTTCACCATTTATATAGTTAAAAAAAATACAACATCAAAGAATTTAGCGACTTCCTGATGTTGGTAGAGTCTCCTGAAGGTGCTGCTGGCCCTCTGAGATTTTAGTGTTGATCTCATCATGGATGTGACTCTCTGAAATAGTGTACTGCCAACACAAATAAATTTACTGACTTGACTCCATTCAGCTTTTAATCATTTATTATGATGGTGGGCTTGCAATAATTTTTGCTGGGAGATGTTTGACAGATAATCACAGTCTTATCTGTGTTGATGGTTAGCCAAACAAATTGGTGCAGGCTTCAGATAATTTTCATTAGCATTTATTTGTACTTACCAACATTTTAAACACCCCAGGTTCTTCATAAAATTTGGCAGCAACAAAATCAAGGAGTTCGTACTGATGTTCACCTGGTGGATGAACAGTCAGAAGACAAATGAAACTCAGTAAGGGAACTTTCTAGTTTTACTCCCTGACAAAACACAGGCACTGTGGGGGAGTTACCAGGGGATCTGGCCAATGCTCAACACTCAAGGCAAAGGTGAGATGTATGTACAATCAGATAGCTACTGGTACCATCGGAATTGGAACTCTTGTTTGCTGCTGAAGATAGGGGATGGAGCACTCATGGGAGTGTCCCGAGTGTTGTGATGTTGATTCTTAATTCAGCATTCAATGACAAAACAAAGAAAAACAGGAAGTAAAAAACCTTTTGCCCACTGGACATATGGTGCTAACAAACATTTGTATAGACCATGGGTGCTGTGGTCAACATAACATCAGCCACTTTTTTTTTCCTCAGGACATTTCCTTGTACCTTTTTTAGACTGGTGCCTTGTCAGTTATAAAAACTGGCAATGTGCTTGCAAAACCCAAGTCCTGGAAGAAGATCAAAGTTCAGAAGTGAATGGAAAAAAAAAGTAATTCTCCACGGAGGTTACAGCAGGTGGATGCTAAGAAGAAGAAAAAGAAAGATCCGCTTTAGTGCAGATTAAAACATGAGACTTTTGGGCTAGCAGGCAAGCATTTGGCCACTGCACTACCATGCCACCCAACAGCTATGTACTGTCTACACCAGGGGCAAGGGAACTTTTTTTTCCCTGCCAATGGCCATTTGGATAATTATAACACAGACACACAAATTATCATCTTAAAAATTACTTTGCTATATCAAACATTTAAACTCACCCTAATGGTGCGGCATGTGATTTTAGCTTACTGGTGATGTTGCTACTTGCAACTGCAGAATAAATTATTTTCTGGACCTTATGCGCTTGATAGTGGGAATTAAATGGCATGACTGAATCACTAATGTGGCACTTGGGAGAGAACTAAAAAAAAAATTTAGTTAACCGAGAAGGGAAGAAAAGATGCAGGCTTCAGATAGGACACACACAGAGAAAACTAGAGAATGAGATAACTAGACTGTCTTTACAGAGGTTACAGAAATAAAGGCAGACCCAAAACAAAAAAACATGTGCAGAAGGTAACTGGAGAGTGCAGTTTAAAAGATAGGGAAACAAGGCTGAGATGCAGGCAACAGCACAAAAAAAAAGGATGACTTGGCATGAGTTAACTGAGTGCCTATGCTCTTTTTGGGGAAAGGGTGCAGAATAAGATAAAGCTTATTGGCTGGACTATCCCTCACCTCTGGTCTACAATTATCAAGAGTAATCAACAGTAACAATTTACTAGATGGGAGAGGGGGGGGAGGGAGAGATACTTAAATCCTCTGTAACCATGTGTAACAATCAAATGTCAGTGTAAAAAAAAAAATGTCACCAAATAATTTTAGAGTCATAAGAAACCCTTTCAGAAACTGAAATGCTTGTAAGAGACAGCCATGTGTGGAAACAGGTTGATGACCCATTGACTCTCTATGTTTGGGAAGAAAGTAAAATAAGCAACAATTATAAAACTTTAAATTAAACCCAAAAATTTTAAAAAATGAACATTTGCAGTCTTTTGTCAATTACTTGTGTATGCTCTTGCATAGAGAACATTATCCAGGACTGCAGTCTGGTCCACATTGAATCTGTCAGCTATCTCTCGTAGTCTGTCTGGACGGCTTCAGTGATGTTAAGGAGTTTTTGGTACCATCAGAACAGGAACTCTGGGCTGGCTGCTAGTAGCACTTATAGGAATGTCCTGGGTGCCACCGATATCAGTTCATTAACTCAGCTCAACTCACAGATATGCTCAAAGAAAGTGGTTATGTTGAGCAAATCACAGGAAAACTGCCAAATTAGATCTATAGTAACAAATACTGGAAGTTGCAATAGGCAATGGCTACCACACTTGCCTGCTACTCCAGTGGCCAGAACTTAAAATATCAATGCAGACACTAGTACCATTGGAATTGGAACTCTTTGATTGCTGCTGAAGATGGGAACAGAGTGCTTTTAGGAGTGTCCCAAGTGCTGTGATGTTGACTCATAATTCAACATTCAACTGCCACCTTTTTTTTGTTTCAGAACTTAAGCGCTGTTAATTAAAACAGCAAACAAAACACATTGAAACTGCCCGACTCTCAAAACACATTTTACTGTTAAAGGATACAATGTATTTTCAGTATCAATGAAAACAACCTTTCCTCCTCCATATCCATTAGCTCCTGGAAGCTGTGATGTTACTGAATAAAAAGTTTTTTTTTTTTTTCAGTTCTGTTTTTTGTAAACTGAGTTTAAATTAAACATTAGAATAACAAAAAAGTTCTAAATGATATATACTTTTTTTTAAATATACAAATTTTCAAAAAATATTAATTATTTACATATAATTCAACCTTGGCTCTCAGGTCGACCTAGCCTTGAGTGGGTACTGGGTGCAGTCCCGGGAAGTAAAGGTGGCCGGCGTGATGCTGACCATATCACCCATCTTGTGCCTATTGTTTTTAAAAATATAGGTCTAGCCCTATATGCCCTATACGCCTAAAGGCGTGGAAAAGGGTCCTTTACTTTACTTTTATTTACATATAATTCATCCCTGTGTGGGTTTCCAGAACCCCATGGAGAGAAGGGTCAGTAGGGGGGAGATAGACCATGGCCCTACTAAACTATCGTATCGGGGAAAGGTGACTAACTAGCCACAGTCCGTCTGCCTGAGAGGTGAGGAATAAAAATCTGCAAACAAAAAAGCCAGATCTGTAAAATGAATGTGCATGCAAAACTCAACTTCTAGAACAAGTCCAGAAGTATACAGCAACCAGAACTTTTTGCCAGAATTTACAGCCAGTAAAAGCTGAAAGGAAGAAGAAGTTTGTAATCTAATCTTGAATTAACAGCATTTGTTTTTCTCATAAGTAAAAAAGAAAAAAAGTAAACTACCCTTTTCCACGCCTTTAGGGGTATAGGGCATATAGGGCTAGACATATATTTTTATAGACCAATCGGCACAAGATTGGTGATGTGGTCAGCACCACGCCATTTTTTTTCGCATATATCCTTTTCACTCAGTTATTAATATTTATTATATGCCTATTGAATGGTACAATGTGCCCAGAGGTATTAAAAAATAAATACAAAAGACATCAAATGTGTTCACTGCAGTAAGGGATTTGTGGCATTTAATAGAAACTGAACATAAAACCAACCTTAATTTCAATTTAATATCAAATTAAAAACCCTTAAAAAAAAAAACATTCAAACCAGTGCTGCAATGATTTACACTAATTACTATCTTGGCCATTCTAGACAACAAGTTAAGGGATATAATAACTTCCAGCACACTGATATTTAGAACACTCATTATGGGCAAGAAGGATAATTTAGAGACTATAAATAACTGGGAGCCACCGTGGTGTAGCGGGTAAGATGCTCACCTGTGGATCTGAAGGTCATGGACTCAAATCTGCATGGATCAGATTTTTCTTCCCAGTCTTAACCTTGGTTCTCACGTCAACCCTGTGATGGGTACCAGGCAAAGGCCTGGGAAGTAAAGGTGGTCAGCATGATGTTTACCAAATCACCCATCAAAGTCTATGAAACAAAAATATTAGTCTAGCTTCATCTGCCCCATGTGCCACTTGTGTGTAAAGGGTCTTTTTACAATAACTACTGAGTGAATATAATGACATGTATTTCAAAACTAACGCTACCTGTGTGGGTTCCGGGGCCCTATTATAGGGAAAACAAGAATAAACCCACTGCCTACCCAAAAGCATGTCATAAGAGTCAACTAATTGGGAGCTTCCTTCAAAGTCGGAGTGCATCTGTCTGAGAGGAAGGAACCAGCAGTCTGCAAGCCAATGAATCAGATCTGTAAAATGGATGCACATGCAACACTCAGGTTCTGAAACAGGACTGCACTCCAGAAGTGGACGAACAACCAGAACTTTCCGCCTGAGTTTACAGCCTGGTGAAGGCGAAGAAGAAGAAGAAGAAGAAAACTAACACTACAAGATTTTCTTGTCTTGTTTTTAAAATTCTAGAAATTAGACCACCAACCACACAAAGTATGAGAAAGCTGTGTTTTCCCAGTTCTGAATTCCCCAAATACTTCTGTAATGGCCATACTCTCAATTCCACCACCGAGCAGTTTGCTATGAATAGAATTTAAATATATTTAAGTATGAAAACAAAATGCTAGTTCTGTCATACAAATAATGAAAAATTATGGTACACATACATTTAAGTAAGAAAGAAAGAAAGAAAGAAAGAAAGAAAGAAAGAAAGAAAGAAAGAAAGAAAGAAAGAAAGAAAGAAAGAAAGAAAGAAAGAAAGAAAGACAGAAAGAAGAAAGAAAGAAAGAAAGAAAGAAGAAAGAAAGAAAGAAAGAAAAGAAAGAAAGAAAGAAAGAAAGAAAGAAGAAAGAAAGAAAGAAAGAAGAAGAAAGAAAGAAAGAAAGAAAGAAAGAAAGAAAGAAAGAAAGAAAGAAAGAAAGAAAGAAAGAAAGAAAGAAAGAAAGAAAGAAGACAGAAAGAAAGAAAGAAAGAAAGAAAGAAAGAAAGAAAGAAAGAAAGAAAGAAAGAAAGAAAGAAAGAAAGAAAGAAAGAAAGAAAGAAAGAAAGAAAGAAAGAAAGAAAGAAAGAAAGAAAGAAAGAAAGAAAGAAAGAAAGAAAAAAGAATGTTGAGTGATAAAAAAAGAAGGCAGTTAGTCAAAATATTAAAATTTATGGTCCTTGTGGGGTTGTTTGGTACCTAACAAGGACCTAAAAGTTAGAAATAAATATATTTCAACATACACGTTACTCAGACAAGGACAGTTGAGTGTTGAGCTAAGAACTGACACCATAGCGCTTGTAAGGAGCCATTTTATCCTTTGATCTCATTTTCATAAACTATTCTGAGTAGGTGTCTTGAATGTTGAATAAAGAATCTTCATCACAGCACTTGGGACACTCTCATAAGTGCTCTGTCCCCATCTTCAGCAGCAAGCGAAGATAGGTATGTGAACCTACTGAGTGTCAAGTCGAGGCAAGTTTAAAGTTTACGAGGCAAGCATGCGTAGGTGGTCGAAAGTCATGAGAATCTGACAGTGCATGGTTTGAGTCAGTTTGCTGGAAGAAAGAATTTAAATATATTTAAGTATGAGAAACTGAGATAGTCTAGTCTTCTTTCGATCAGGTCTTGTTAGAGGTTGAAGTGTACACATGACATTTAATAAGAAAAATCAAGCATGTGATTGAAAAGAAAGAAAGAAAGAAAGCCCGAAGAAAGAAGGCTAAGAAAGAAAGACAAGAAAGAAGAAATGAAAGGACAGAAAGAAAGAAAGAATCCACAAGAAAGAAAGAAAGAAAGAAGAGAAAGAAATGCCGATGGTGCCAGAAATCAGTTTGATTATAAGTCCAAGAAAGAAAGAAAGAAAGAAAGAAAGACAGAAAGTCAACCAGATACTCTTATTACTCCTAGCTGTAACGTTATCTCTGGACCATAAGGATCTATTCATGCCTCGCATTGACTTGCTCCAGAACGAAAGAAGACGTGACCACAAGAACTTGTCATGAAAGAAATTCCCCAAAGAAAGCAGAACCAGAAAGTCTGTCTGAAAGTTCATTTCTCAACACTCCTGCATTACCTTGAGAAAATATTAGAACGCTAACTACCCAGGACCTCTGAAGTGTGACTTGCCACTCTGCACAGGGGGTGCCTATCTCCACCTCTCTTAACTGCTTTGTGAGTCAGTTACAACCACAACATATGAGTGCAGCTGGTTCTCAAGCCTAGGGCAATTGAAACTCTTAAGTTTTTGTGTGTTTTGGGTGTAATGTTGACCTGTCTGTTTACAGCAAAGCATTAAATGTGACTCTTTGCAAATCACAAAGTCTAAAAGTGGGTATAGTAGCCAGTTTATCGTGCCCGACTACTTCCATTAGTGACAAACTGCATTTCTGGTGGCGACTGTTGGCTTTGACAGCTCTAGCAACTGAATTTTGCATTTACTGTGTGCGCATATTTATGGATTGTTCCGAGACCAATTGGTTGTTCACCAGTTTTTCAAATGCAACAGTGAGGGACATTTCATTTGTGTTGCACTGGCATAGGAATGGAGCTAGTATGGGGAAATCTGACTGCAGTGAAGTTGAAACTTCGACTAAGACTAAAGTCTATAAGTTTCCTGTGTGAAACAACTGGGCAGTAAGAACACTGATCATTATGGGTTTACTGATCTTCTTCCTGCTTGGCTTAAGTTGTAGTTTATTAACAATGAAATGCCTAGAACGTGGGGTGAAAACATTAACAGGTGAGGAACCCTTGAGGTTGTAAATGGTATAATATAATAAACAGATGGGCATGTATTGACTGGTACAGCAGGACACTCTAGACCTGGCACAGCAGGACACACTAGACCTAGCACAGCAGGACACACTAGACCTAGCACAGCAGGACACACTAGACCTGGCACAGTAGGACACACTAGACCTAGCACAGCAGGACACACTAGACCTGGCACAATAGGACACACTAGACCTGGCACAGTAGGACACACTAGACAACACAAAAATAAAAAGCTATTGTTACCATATTGTCCCTGTGGGGACTCCAGAGCCCTATTTTGGAGGGAAAAAGAATAGTCCCACTGCCTCCCTAACAAGCATGTCATAAAAGGCAGCTAATTAAGGATTTGTCCTCAGAAGTAGGAGGACGTCTGTGTAAGTGGTGAGAAACCAACAGTCTGCATACAAGTAAGAGCCAGATCTATAAAATAGATTCAAAATTTAAGCTCTGGATCAGGACTGAAGTCTGGAAGTGGATGAACAATCTAAACTTTCTACCAGAGTTTACACCTGATGAACGCTAAGAAGAAAAGGAAGTTACCATTTTGGTAATCGAACCTGTCACCTACTTCAAATGATGACAGTGCCTCACTGCAGAAACTAGTGTACTTCAACACACGAGTGAATATTGAGTTTGTGTCACATGTCAAACAAAGTACACTTCTGTTGTCATTTGGGAATGATGGGTTTGATTATCAGAATGGTAACAAAAGCTTTCAGTTTTTATGTAGCAATTTTTTTAAAGTACTTCTGATCAGAATATTTGTGCGAGTAAATATTTCAGTTTAAGACCATACATTACTTTAATTCTTCACTGCCTGTTGATACTTTGAATACTTGTTTTCGTTTATCTGAATATTCTAGTGCTGTTACAAAAGCTGATCCCTGAAAAATAATTGAATTATCTATTAATTCATTTTTTTTTTTGGTATTAGAAAAATGTATACATAAAAGAGATTCTCTACAACAACTACAAAAGTACTATCTTCTTAAAAGGGCAGTTGACAGGTTGTGTTATGGTTTACAGCCACGCAGCAATATATGTTTCTTTTGACCTAATACATCTGATTTCATCAAGTCCTTAAACAGTTACCTTATACAACATGTTGATTAGGGGGCAGTCGGTGTACTGTTTCTTTACACTATCTTTTCTAAGTCAAAGACATTTATCACCTGGTCAATCGCTCAGAGTGTGTGTCATACTTGATGAGAGTTTCACAATGAGGTCTACAAATTCTTAGGGAAATTTGAATGCAATGAGAATAAATCAGAATAAATATGGCCAATAATCAAAATTCCCTCTGCAAAACATAATCATCATGTAGCAGGTCCTTTGCAGAATGTCGCTCTCATCACGGCCTGCCTGAAAGAAACTCGGTCTCTTGCCAGCTCTTCCGCCCCTGTCCCTCCTTCCTGGTACCATGCCTTCTGCTATCATTTTCTTCAATCCGTCGTGGCGCTTGAAATGACAACAATATTTCAGCTTATGAGATGGGATGCTTTTTATTAGCCAATCTTCCTTAATGTTCACATCTTTCAAGATGTCAGTATTTCTTCTCTTCTTTGTCCAAGATACTCTGCAAAACACAACTTCAAAATGTATGAATAAATCTATCAATCAAGAAGTGATATCACTGCTGCACTCAGAACATTCCTACACATGCCCATGTCCTTCCTCAGCAGCCAACAAACAGTTCCCATGCCAGTTGCAACCTGATTTAAATTATCCTGTTTCTTCCATTGCGTGTAGAAAAACATCAAGACCCTCTACTCACTGCCAGCTAAATCATTCTCTCCAGATATGGATGTTCTGTCTTTTCTGTTGCAATGTTTACTTAATCCCAGAGAGTCTTCTCCATTACAAAGTAAAGCAGCTCACCACCCAGAAGGGCAGCAGCAGTTAATCTATCAGTCTGCCCATTACCACATACACATGAATATCCTGGGCAAAAATCGGTATGCTTTTTATCTGAGTCTTATCAATCAGCACAAGACACCAGCTTCTACTTTCCAAAGCATACTCTGTGAGGCAGTTATAATTACAGCATGTAAGCTGATATTACTTTCCAGTCACTGGAAAGTTTTCGTTACTGCTTCCATCTCTATTCTCATGCTATATGATTTGACATTATAAGAGAGGCTTTCTTCTGCCACTTTCTTGGGTTTTTCAATTTACTTTCAATCTTTTTTTTCCAATGAAACCCCATCTACTTATTTTTTTATCTCTCACTACCGATTAATCTGTGTATATAATGTTGTCTTCTGGAGGTGAATTTTTATTAATCAGTTCTAGCATATGTTTCTAGAATTGATGCTTCTGTTTCTCCCGCTATATGTTTCTAGAATTGATGCTTCTGTTTCTCCCGCTATATATTTCTAGCACTGATGCTTCTGTTTCTCCTGCTATATGTTTCTAGCATAGATGCTTCTGTTTCTCCCGCTATATGTTTCTAGCATTTATGCTTCTGTTTCTCCCGCTATATGTTTCTAGCATTGATGCTTCTGTTTCTCCCGCTATATGTTTCTAGCATTGATGCTTCCGTTTCTCCCGCTATATGTTTCCGACACTCTCAGTCAACTTCTCTGTGGTCAAAAGATGATGGGGGAAATGAAGCTGGTCATTTCACTTCACTGCTTAATGTGATGGATTAGTAAATGATGTCCCTTCATTTACACCTCTAATGCTATTATTTGCCACATTCTTTATTATGTATGTACTTACTTAAATGTACTTAAAAGAAAGCTTAAAATATAAAATGTTTTACTCCGCAGATCTTTGATGCAGCTTCTTTTATTTTCTCCATTTTAGCCTCTGAGATCCCTTTAATGTTGCACATTTTTCTTCTTGTGGTCATCTGAACTCCCTGAAGAAAAGAAAATACTATAAAATCAAGAACAAACAGTAAAGTGAAAGGTTTTTAACTAAAAGGATCAATTTCACTGCACCAGGTTTTATCCCATATGTCTCAGTCTCTCTCTACAGAATGGCTAGCTGCCTGTCAGGGATTGCAATCAGGGATTGCGATAAATATTTGCATTCCTAGAGCTAACAGAGCAGTCCATGAAACAAGTCCACAACCTTCACAGCGTGAGCCAAATAACATAACCACTTAGCCATAGAGACCCTTATGACGGTAAGGAACTCAGTGGTTCTCAACCTTCCTAATGCCGCGACCCTTTAATACAATTCCTCATGTTGTGGTGACCCCAAATCATACAATTAACTTCGTCATTACTTCATACCTCCAATGAATGTGTGTTCTGCGATAGTCTTTGGTGACCCATGTGATAGTGTCGTTTGACCCAAAAAAGGTCGCAACCCATAGGTTGAGAGCAGTTGCTCTGACTCTTTCTGTCCCAAGCAACGCATAGTGTGTGATCAGCTATAATCAGTATGTATCAAACAATGAACAGTGCGTTATTATATATCCCACATTTGGTTTGTGCATGCTAAAGAAATCTGGCTTATTTGCCAACATACAGAACAATAAATGTTGTCTCTTTGAAAGTAATACACTCATGATGTTTGTTGTGTCTATTATATCTTTAACTATTTAAACAAAATCTTCTGGTACTGAAAGAGTTAACCTGAATAAATCAGTCCCTAACATCATACTCATCCTCATTATCAAGAGCTAGATGTAAGACTTGTGTTAAAGTTGTATGGTCAAATAGCTTCCCAATCCCTAATTTTTAGCAGTTCTCTTCAACTGTGTAGCTCTGAATTCCAGAATTCTTGCACTAAAGGCAATAAGGTAAGAGGATTAAATTCATTGCATCTAGTATAATCTCAAATGTCTCTCTGCAGAGCAGCTGGCCATCTGACGAGAGCATTTCACAATGCACAAATTCTGTTAGTCTATATGACTTTCAGTGATCTCTGACCAAACAACTGCACTTTTGAACCAAGTAACACATTTAAAAAAAAAAAACTTACAATCTTCAAAGCACAACAGCCACATGCTTGCATGAAATATTGGTTGTTGTATTTTGTAACCTCCTCTATTTCTTTTTTTTTTTCTAGCTTTTACCCTCTAGTAGTTTTAACAGTAGGTCTCCATATTTCACGAAAAGACCAAGCCAAACCACACACTGTTATTTAATAAATATATTTTTTAGCTGACAATTTTGACCAGAGAAAAACCTGACGACATGGGACATTTTTAATTGCTTACCTTTATTGTACAAATACCTGACTGTTTTAACTTTTTAATATCTGCTACATTCTGAAACAAAAAATTAAAACTACAATAATCTTAAAGATCATTTTCAACAAATAACCCCATGGAAGTATACTCAAAGAATAATGGAGTGAACAAATATAAGAAAAAAATTTAAATGAAGTCATTTCTTTTTCTCTAGTGTTCACCAGCTGTAATTATAGTGGATAGTTCTGGTTGTTCGTCCACTTCAGGATTTTGGTCATGATCCAGGACTTGAGTTTTGCTTGCACATCTGTTTTTCAGATCTGGCTTATTTTTATGCAGATTGTCGGTTCCTTGCCTCTCAGGCATATGCACTCCGACCTGGAAGGAAACACTCATAATGAGTATACTGTTATTACATGCTTTTAAGGGAGACAGTTGGAGAGATATTTGGTCTGTTATGTTTTTCCTCCAAAATGAGGCACAAGAACCCACATGGGGAATGCAGTCATTTATATAGTTAAAGCCACAGTAGGAAGCCACTTCAAAGAGACTTTCTTGCTTGCCTGTCATCATGTGTTCATGTGTCCCAAACCCTAGCCATCTAGGTGTTCATGTGTCCCAAACCCATGCCATCTAGGTTTTCATGTGTCCCAAACCCTAGCCATCTAGGTCTTCATGTGTCCCAAACCCTAGCCATCTAGGTGTTCATGTGTCCCAAACCCTAGCCATCTAGGTGTTCATGTGTCCCAAACCCTAGCCATCTAGGTGTTCATGTGTCCCAAACCCTGCCATCTAGGTGTTCATGTGTCCCAAACCCCTGCCATTTAGGTGGTCATGTGTCCCAAACCCCTGCCATTTAGGTGTTCATGTGTCCCAAACCCCTGCCATTTAGGTGGTCATGTGTCCCAAACCCCTGCCATTTAGGTGTTCATGTGTCCCAAACCCCTGCCATTTAGGTGGTCATGTGTCCCAAAGAAGCCATCTAGGATTCATGTGTCCCAGGTCCCCTGCCATTCATGTGGTCATGTGTCCCAAACCCCTGCCATTCATGTGGTCATGTGTCCCAAAAGATGAACCCCTAAAAATGCATCAATACACCTCAAGGTGTGCAATAAAGTTTTCTACTTTTCAAATACAATGTGCAGGCTTGCTACACTGAAAGTTTTTAGCTAAAAATACCTGAACTTGTTAAAATTTAGCTATATTTCCTTTAGAGGACATAGCTGCCTTAGCATCTAATGGCTGTGGTTTTACAAGGCAGTTTTGGTATGTTCAAAAACGCCATTGCTTTGTGAATGGTCAACTTTCATATCATTACTGAAATCAATGCAAAGCTTTCTATTGCCAAATCACCCAGAGCTGGAATCAAATCTGGTATCTCAGATGTTCAAACAGTGTTCTCAACCCCTAAACCACAGACACCCTAGCTAACAATACTGTTATTTCACATTTACTTACTATGCCATGGTTCTGCAGAATATCAATATCTTGAAAGAATGACTCCTGTTGAAAAAAAACGAACTATTTGTTTTTCTCCATTTAATACAATGCTAAAACACTGCAATTATTAGAAAACTATGTAATTTATTATAACTGAAAGTGGGGTTACTTAGTAAGTAAAGGACCCTTTTCAGCATCACGCCAGCCACCTAAACTTCACATGACTGCATTTGGTACCCATTCAAGGCTGGGTTGACCTGGAAGCCAAGGTCATTTAAAAAAAAAAAGTCTGGCTCCTTCAGGACCTGAACTCACGACCTTCCGATCCGCAGGCGATCATCTGGCCGCTACATCAAGGTGACTCCTGGGGTTACTTAACCTATTATCATTGAAAATAGTTGGGAGGCAGATCCTGAACCACCAGGACCAAGGCTCGTACTAGTTACGACCTATCCACACTTCTGTGTGGTGGTCATCCTAGAAACAGTTTCATAACTGGGAGCCTGGCCAACATAGACAGGATCATCTTTTCCTTTTAAGTCAGAGTGCATCTGTCTGAGAGGTAGGAAAGGTCTTTCACACATAAGCCACATCTATAAAACAGATGTGCATGCCAAACTTACGGAACCAGACCAAACTCCAAAAGTAGATAAACAATCACAACTCTCCGCCTGAGATTACAACTGCTGAACACTAAGAAGTTGAAGAAAGAGAAAGCAGAGCTCTTTAAAAAAAAAAAATTTATAATACATTTCCCAGGTCTAAATTTTCACAATATAGTTATAAAATACTGGCAGAGGTGTGTCCTGATACAAGGCATGTTCATCACGCAGTGAAAAATGGAAGGACTGTGACTACTTTGCCATGAATATCTAATAAGCAGCCATATGATTGTCTATGAACATGCATGCAGCTGTTCTGAATTGAGAGGAAACATCTGGGAATTAATGGCAAAGATGATGACATAATAATGCGACTCTTCCCTATGCTCTCATGATCTCTTTTCCAAGATGATTTATAATATACTCATCTTCTTCTTCTGAATTCCTGAAGTTCACTGCTGCAGATATCAGCCAACACCATTCATCTTAATCTATAATTAGCCTTGTCTTTCCAGCTGGTGACTCCAAGTGTTTGTATTCCTGCCTGCATATTATCTCTCAACAATAATCTTGATCTGCCTCATTTTCTACCCCCATTCAACCATTTTGTGTTCAGTTTTTAGCTTTCTATTATCTTAAAAATGTTTTCCCATTGTAAATGTAAATAATGCTGATTCAAACAATACATTGCACACTTTATTACCTGGCATATTTCTCTGTATCTCGTCAAGTGCACTACTACAGCGTAAAATCAACATATGTGGAAGCACATAATGAATTCTTGCTGAAATGTGTAAACCACATTGTTGAGTTGCTGCTATACATCTATCCACTGGAAATTCAAATTAGTAGGACTTTTTTGGTCAGTCATTCGAGACTTTGTTGCTGTGCCATAGGACATGTATCTGACAGATATTTGTGCTTAATCAGCCCACTGATAGTGGCAGACTGTCGTTGTGTACCTTAGTGCTGTGACAATGATGTTGAAGAACAACAAAGGATGTAGGGGTACAGGTCTGTTCCATGAGTTACTGCCTGCAAGAGATGTTGCTCATCTAGACTGCGAGCAAGTCTCTTGCTATTGGGCTGAATCTCAGCAGTTCAGTAGTTCTTCCTCTCGACAGACATTTTTAACCAAGGGTTGTCATTTAGTCATGCATCTTCCCTGTGGTTACATACGGATGTGAGTCGTGGACTATCTCTCAGTCCTTAAGAAAGAGAATAGGGGCTTTTGAGCTGAAATGCTATAGAAAGATTCTCAGAATATCTTGGACAAAGAAGATGAGAAATATTGACATCTTAAAAGATCTGAACATCAAGGAAGACTGGCTAATAAACAGCATCCTTTCTCGAAAGCTGAAATATTTTGGTCATATCAAGCGCCACGACGGACTGGAAAAAATTATAGCAGAAGGCATGGTACCAGGAAGGAGGGGCAGAGGCCGACCGACACGAAGATGGGCACAGGATATAAGTGACTCCTTGAGTGTGAAAGTTCATGAGGCGGGAGAACTGGCAAGAGACCGAGTTTCTTACAGGCAGACTGTGATGAGAGCGACGTTCTGCAAAGGACCTGCTACATGATGATGATGTCTGGTAATCTGGTAATCCTAGTTTCAGCTTCATAGCAAACGGGTCACCCCACACATGCTCCGCTCCTGTGCCAACGAAAAACAAACGCAGCTCACAGTGTCACGCCATGCACTCAACTCAGAAGCTGGGCGACGAAACTTCATCCTTCCAGTCTACAAATGGAGCAAAAATGCAACGGCCACCGTCTGGAAAAATATTTGCCACGGCTTTAAAAAAAAAAAAAAAAAAAAAAAAAAAAAAAAAAAAAAAAAAAAGGTGGCCGTACCTAGCGTCCATTTTGACCGGAAGAATTATATGAGGGTTAAAAAACGGTCACCCCAGCAGTACCCTCATTATTAGCTGGGGAAGGGACTTAGGACATTACATCCACCAGCAGGCGTCGCCCCTACAACGACCTGCCTGCCCTCGTTAACGACTGTTCACCCAACAGCCATGCAGTTCTTTGGCACGAAGGAGACACCTTGAACTTGGGTTTCGTACTGCCGACTCCCTACTAAGATGTTATTTTATGTTCTGTTATCACAATTAATGTCACTGCACATTGGGCATACCATGCGTGCTCAGTTCTCCGAAGCAGCAGCCACTCTAAAGTACTTCTACTAATTGTCCCCATGAGAAGCTGGTTATATTGTCTCCTTTCTCGGCCTCGAAGACGGCAAAGACGTGCATCACCATGCTTAACTCCCATGTCACGCAATCGTGTTAGTGTAAGGGATTCCTCATTCTCCACTAGCCCGGTTCGTACAGCGTTGACTATGTCTGCTCTGTCCATACTTTTTCCTGCAATCATTAGTGCATTGCTTGCCAGTTGGTCTGCTCGCTCATTTCCCTTCACGCCCGCATGACCCGGTGTGTAGATCCAGGTTACGGAGGTTAAGTGCGATTTCCTGATGCTTTCTATCCATTCAGAGCGCATACTGCCTGTTGCTATCTTCTGAAGCATATTCATTGAGTCTGAGACAATTACTACCTGTGTGGCGGTTTGCTCGGATACCCATGCTAAAGCGAAGCAGCGGCTATTTCCATTGTCATGCTTGACGTGGTTGTCTGGTAAGCGCCGCTGTCCTCATGTATTGTTTTCCCCTTTCTTTGCGCTGTGTATGCCCATGCTGACCTTGATCCGCGCTTCACAGATCCATCTGTGTAGATGATGATATCTTCTGGGTCTGAATGCTGATCTATCAGTTCCCTTACTTCTGTGTCTACCGCCGCGGGAATTTGATCCCTGCAGTACCTTCCGAGTGTGATGACAACCTTAGAAATGCCATGCATGTCTACTGGTGTATTCGTCCATTCTTTTCCGTGGCTGATCACGTCTAGGTCACATACCTGCTGGATTAAGCCCTCAGCCTTTGCCATCCAAGAGCGGCCCCTTTTGAGACGCGTTCCTTTTGTGTCGTGAATAGCTTTGTGTAATGGGTGGTTAACATCTGCCGATACCCTCATGTAAGCCTTGACCTGTGCCACTTTGTATCTGCTTGTCATAGTCGGCAGACCCAGGATATAACGCATGGCGTTGCAGGAGGTGTCTTTTGTGCAGCCGAGTATGAGTCTCATGGCCTCATTCTGTACTCGGTCCAGTCTTTCTAGCTGGGTTTTGCTGACAGTGAGGAGGCCGAGACCATAGTCAATGACGCTAAGCACAAGCCCTTGATAGAGAAGGAAAAGTAGACGTTGTTCAATATCAGCTGCTGCTAGCAGATGATGATGTCATTTAGTACTATGTTCAGCCAGCAGACTTTACCCATGTTAGAAATTAGTTTTGATAAGTTGTTTTCACTCATGTATTGGGGATGGGCTGTTGAGAGCCAGACTGGACTTTGTATCTCCTGAGGCCACTAACTCCGAGATCCCTGCCAACTCGGTTCAGTCACAATGGAGAGCCATTATCCATGGCACATGACGGGGACATGTGGCAGGAGTCTTGCATGAGGATCTGTGAAACCAGTCCAGAGCCGGCTGACACTCGAGGTGAGGTAAGGAGCACCTCCATATACATATCAAAACAGCCTTTACTTTCTTTCAAGAATGTGAGCGAAATCACTGTGCAACTTTAACCTTGCTTATACGTTTCTCAAGAGCCACGTTGAAAAGTGGAGAAAGGGCAACACCTTGCTTTAAACTAGATAATATGTGAAAAGGATCTGAATTTCTGCCTTTATAAGTTACACTGTTACAAGTGTCGTCTATGCAGTCTGATTATGTTGATTAACTTCTTTGGTTTTACAAATTGCTGCATACCTTTCCACAACCTATTCATATGTGCACTATCATATATTTCTCTGATGTTTGTCACAAGATGAATATCTGATCTACTGCTGATCTTTTCTGTCTGAAATCTGCCTGGTAGTCCCCTTGCCTACCTTCAATGTAAGGTTTTAATCTGTTTAGCAGCAATGCTATTGGTATCTAACAGCCAATATACTGTTTAAAAAAATGCATAGTTATCCAATGGCGCTTTACTACAACAACAAAAATGCATAGTTATTGAAAAAAGCTTAATTTGTCATAATTGTGCCACTTAAAATCTTAGTAATTTAATAAGTGAAATTGTTCAAATTGCACATTAGAATACTGTAGGCTTCAACCAATCTATTAACACCTTCCTTTATGTTGGTCATTGATAGTTTTTAGGTGTACAGGCTTTCCCACCGACTAATAAAAATGTGCCAGATAACTATGTGTTTCTTTCTTTCTATCTTTTTTCAATAGGAAAGCGCCATCCGATAACATTGCATTTCTTTATTTTATTTTTTTTTAAACAGTATAGATGTAATCATGTTTCTCATAAAAGGTCTAATACCCATATTTAAAACTCTCACACTCACTTCTTCATCTTCATCTTGGTCAACTACTTGTTGTGAAACCACTTGATCTCCAGTTGCCATTTTCCTAGTTAAAGTTTCTGTTAAATATTTAAAGAGAAAACATAAAACAAGATAACTGCTTATTGTAGATTATTCAGTTTTCATAAATTATAAGTAAGGGCCCACTGGACATCTTCAGGCAGATCTAAAGTGCTGGATCAAAATTTTCAATGACTAAAAATCGGCATTTAAAAGTATATATGTTTAGCATCACACTGGTTACCTTTACTTCCAGGAGATCTTCTAGAAGCAAATTTTTTTTTCCGGAAAGGCAAGTGTGTTAGGAAATCATCTGGAAGACAAACTGTTAGGTCTGCAACACTAGATAGTGAATTGATGTGTGACAAGCTAGAATGGTCAAGGCCCTTTGGGAGAAACTAAACTGTATGAAAGCATAATATGAATAGATCATTAGTACATTACTAATGTAACTTAAAGTATCATCTGGAGAGAATGGTGCAATGTGGAGTGACCCGGAGTCTGATTTACACTCAACACTCGGAGGAAAGACGGCCAAAATAATCAAACTCTTTTAATGTCTTCCAGGGGAATAGGAACTGCTAGCTTCCAAAGACGAGGACAGTGCACTTATGGAATATTTCGAGTGTGCTGATGTCATTTTTTAACGCGACTCAAGAGATCAGATTAAAACCATTCCCCTTCGTCTTCTTCTTTGGCATTCCGAACCCCCGTGGTTCACTGCAGTAGATAATATAGACAATTTTGAGGTAATTATTAATATTACCCGTAGAAAAAACAAAATTATTATGGCCTGGAGAGAATGAGGCACCCAGGTGTAACCAGAGGGTCTGGCCGGCTCACTACACTTAGAGGAAAGGCAAGACGGACATGTAACCAGATTGTGACCAGTACCATTAATATTGGAACTCTGCGCTGGCTGCTGAAGATGTGGACGGAGCACGCATGGTAATGCCCCGAGATCTGTGATGTCAATTCTTAACTCAACTAACTTACAATTTACCCGCCTGCAATCACATTCTGTGAAGTGATCGACACCACTCTCAGTTTTCTAGTGAGATTAAATGATTGTTAAGTAAGAATATGACAGGAAACGCTCATACGAGCCAAGAGACCTGTCTAATAATTTTATTATCATATAATTTTACCTCAAATGATTTTAAAGTAAACGAGGATACCTTAAACTTAAAACAATAATTACATAAATTTTGTGAAAAAAAGTATTCCAATTTATCGTCTGCTAGTTAACCTAGGAAACGGAAACGACTTTGCTTTTCTAACTTCACTTACTTCCGATTTCCTAGCTTTGTCAACACGTGTAGTATTCGGTAACGTTCATTCAAGCTTGGTTTGAGCAGTCCATCGCACCTTTACAATCTCCTCAGTGAAGCGAAGTGATTTCGCAGAGAGGTTGTTAAATTAAAAAGACATCTATTTTAAATTTAAAGACTACTTAACAACGATGGTAAGTTTTTGATTATAATTTGTATTGTCTTTCATTTTGTGAATGAATGAGTTGACTGAAAGCCTTTTTATTTTTTTCCCTCGCACACAGGCCCACATGCGCTTTGCTTCACCCTCTTGCCGTCTCTAACGAAGAGTTATGGCAGTTATGCTGATGTTGCCAGTAGCAGTATGATTAAAAGTCTCATTTTTTAAGGTCTGATTATAAAGACTAATATTAATATAAGCAGCATCTTGTCCCGGTAGCTGAAATATTTTGGTCATATTAAGCACCATGCATGGTACCGCTAAATAGGGGTAGGGACTGAGCGGCAAGATGAAGATGAGCAAAGGATATGAAAGTCAAAGTGCACTAGGCGGGAGAGTTTTGGGCAGAAAATAATGGGAGCGATGTTCTGTAAAGGACCTGATGTATGATGACTGATGTTTCTATGCGGTAACTATAATTTGGCGGCTCCCAATTTTGAGGTTTATTACTTGGAAGAATTTCTTGTGGAGTTACCACATGCTGACTTACCATAAATTACCATCAAACAAAGAAGCAACTTTTAAATTATTAGACTAGCACTGCAGATTATTTTTATGAATAAAAGTGTTTTATGCTATATTCTATGTCAGTGGGTTTAATGTTCCCCTATCTCAAAATTAGAATACGAAGGTCATAAAATTGACAAACAAAAGATTTGGCATGTTTTCTGTCATTTTGTGTTTTCCTTATTTATTGTATGCATTTCCTTAACAGTACCACACTACACCACAGCATATAGCAGCTCACAGGCCAAATCAGCCCCATAGATGCCTAGCAAGTGGCAGGCGCATCATTCTGTTGCTTGGTTTCTGAATGCTCTGGCCTAACTATCCCAGTTTCTAAAGAATAAACCCCCGGCTCTACTGGCAAATCCGGACGAAGAATAAACAGCCTTGGACGACTTAGTCAGAGTTCTCTCCCGTGGCCGCACTCCAAACAGTGATCGGAAAAGCCACAACGAAACAAAGAAGACAGTCACGTCGACATCAGGGCTGCCAATGCTTGGTTGTGTTTCCCCCAGATCTGGGTTTTTTTTTTCGACGCTGTAGGACAATTCCGGGTGTTTTTTTTGGTTGGGTGTGTTTTGTTTGTTGGTGTTTGCCGAATTGTATGCTTTAATGATCGATAAATTTGCGTGGTAGGGGTTAGGGAGTAGGATTAGGGTTAGCGAGTAGGATTAGGGTTAGCGGTAGGGTTAGGTTTAGCGTTAGATTTGACAATTTTGACGCCGGAGTTCCCTATAATCGCGCACAGTCCCATACACACACTCACACAAACAATCGAGGGCCTCTGGATGCTGGTCAAACGCACAATTCACCAACGATTGGGGGGCATCAGCCGCACGCTATTGGCGTCATATTTGGCAGGGTTTCAGTGGCGCCACTCCCACAAACATATTGTCGGCCAGTATTTCGAAATCCTACGTCACAATTTTCAAATCTAACCCTACCCCTAACTCTAATCCAACAACCGCATGATGATGACTACACAACCATTCACAATGCCTCACGCAACCATATGATGACGCCACGCAACCGTACGCAGCCCTACACGCAACCGCAGGATGATAGCTAAGTGTGTCGTTTGTTTCGTTTGTTTTCCGATCACTGTTTAGAGTGCGGCCAATGGAGAGAACTCTGACTAAGTCGTCCACGGCTGTTTATTCTTCGTCCGGATTTGCCAGTAGAGCCCTAACTATCCCAGTTTCTAAAGAATAAACCCCCTGCCACCACCATATAATGTGGTTAATAAGATAAAGACACACTGATTCAAATTTATAAAGTCAGGAAAACTATCAAAATGGGATATATCAATTTGTTTTGTGAATGTAACTTCTCCAGGCTGAAGAAATAAGCAGCAAAGCATACCCTCTGGCAGACCAGACACTGACGGAGCAGATTTTGGAGCTTGTACAGCAGGCTTCCAATTATAAGCAGCTGAAAAAAGGGGCCAATGAAGGTATGTTACATTGTGCTATTTTATCTTACAATTTTGTGGTAAGCCTTTTCTCTCATCCCAGATTGTAGGGCTGTACCGAATAGTGATTTTCACTATTCGGCTGAATACGAATAGCTGGACCAACTATTCGGCTAAATACGATATAGTGAATCATCATCAGATGCTTTGCCGACTGGCATGGGCGATTATGCCTTGCCACAATCTGCGATCTCCTGCAGCATGTATAAATAGTTCGTGTGCTGACACACCTCCATGCCATGCAACAAGACTGTCAAGAATCTTCTCTCGTTGTCTTCCTCTATCCCTCCTTCCACAGATCTTTCCAGTGGTCACCACATGTTCCATTTTCCTTCATCTTATAACATGGCTGAAAAAAGGTGACTGTCTCCTTCTAATGTCTGTAAGTCTTCGGGCTTCCGCCTCTTTTAAAACCTCTTGGTAGCTTTTTTATGGCTGTCCAAGGTATTTTAAGCATTGTTCTGTAAAAACATATCTATGAGGCCTTTAGAAATTGTTTTGTTAGGACTCACAGCCATATGTTAAAACTGTATGTATGTAGCAAGCAAGAAAGCATTAGCTTCAAAAAAAAAAATACACACACACAATCATTCCATATTGTCAGCATTAAAGCAGCTTCATGTCTCACTAAAGGTATTTCCAGCTGTGCTGAACAGACGTTCACTGATACGCTCGTAGGTGGTGCAGAAAGTAACGCTTGACAGTATGAACCAAGATTGGAAATCTTGATATGTTCATTTCCACCAGTCCAGAAACGAGTGTAAGGTAACCACTATTCGTATTCGGCCAGACTGCAACTATTCGGCCGAATACTGAATAGTTATTAGGTCCACTGTTCGGCCCTGAAGCGAATATTCTGTACAGCCCTACCAGATTGTTAGTCGTTCTGTTGTTTTTTCCAACTGGACTGTGTTCAACGATAAATGCACTATCTGACTTTTAAAAAACTGGTTATTATATAAACTTTATATCGTCTGACACTTTTGATAATTATAGCTTGTTAATTGTATTTTGAATCTTAACAAATAATTTTTGAATATTGGACATATTGCTGCAGACTGGTTAGTATTATAACTTACAAATGGACTCCAATATTAATTCCTTTTTTGTATGCTTTAGATACAAGGTTTTCGTATTTTCTTTCTAGTTGCCTTGTCCATATGTGTGTGGTTGCAGAATGATCTACCTAGCCGTTAGTATTGTAGAAAATTTAGAATATCTTGGGTCATTGATTACCAATAGGGACACGGGAAATAACGGCTATCAGTTCCCTTTCAAAGACTAAAGCAAGCTGAATATATAATAGAGTGGGACAGACAGAACTGCAAAAAAAGATTTATAAGAACATGCATCTTTCCCATTGCTACATAATGCCCAAGGCCTGGAGACTTACTAAACTAGCTGAACAGCGCATAAAAAATGCCTCTGAATACAACTGTTATTAACAGGTTTTAAGCATATCATGGGTAAAGAAAAGAAATGCACCCATTCTTCAAGAGCTGAATATTGAAGCAGGTTGGCTATTGAACACAGAACTATTTTGGTCACTTTAAAGGTCACAAAAGATAGTAGA